AATATTAAAAGATGACAAAATAATATAAGCTCACAAAAGAACTCTAGAACTCCCAGTGTCCATGCAAAATGCACATTTTTATTCAGGCTCAGCGCTCCCAACCTTCATCCCCCATGGGATGTGCATGGTTTCATAGCGAATCTATCCAGGGATCATGCCCGCAAAACCTGGTTTACCATTTGCATGCTTCTGGCATCTAATCTTCATTCAGGGTCAGTGCTCCCAACCATCATCCCCCATGGGATTTGCATGGTTTCATAGTGCCAGGGAAAGCTGAATTATCATTGGATTTGCATGCTTTTGGCATCTAATCTTTATTCAGGGTCAGTGCTCCAAACCATCATCCCCCATGGGATTTGCATGGTTCCATAGTGAATTTATCCAGGGATCATGCAAGAAAAACATGATTTACCAAGGGATTTGCATGCTCTGGCATCTAATCGCTATTCAGGGTCAGTGCTCCAAACCATCATCACCCATGGGATTTGCATGGTTTCATAATGAATTTCCAAGGATCATGCACGAAAACACCTGATTTGCCATGGGGTTTGCATGCTTCTGGCACTGTTTTGTATTCAGGGTCAGTGCTCCCAACCCTCATCCCTCATGGGATTTGCATGGTTTTCACATTGACCCTGGCAGCAAGGGTATCCCCCATGAAGCCTGAACTAAAAACAGCCAGACCGTGAAGAATGCTAACCACATTCCCCCATCAAAAAAATCGATATGACCCCCTTATCTTTATTCATGGTCAAGCTTTCCATTCCACTTGGGTCATCCCACACTTGCTTCTAAATTTATCCCAAATCCACAAATTTATGGGACCCCTTTCTTTTCAGATTCCTTTTCAAAAAACCATCAAAATCAACACATTGACCCTGGCAGCAAGGGTACCCCCCATGAACCCTGATGCACTAAAAACAGCCAGACCGTGAAGAACGCTAACCACATTCCCCCATCAAAAAATCAATACGACCCCCTTATCTTTATTCATGGTCAAGCTTTCCATTCCACTTGGGTCATCCCACACTTGATTCTAAATTTATCCCAATCCACACATTTATGGGATCCCTTTCTTTTCAGATTCCTTTTCAATAAACCATCAAAATCAACACATTGACCCTGGCAGCAAGGGTATCCCCCATGAACCCTGATGCACTAAAAACAGCCAGACCGTGAAGAATGCTAACCACATTCCCCCATCAAAAAAATCGATATGACCCCCTTATCTTTATTCATTCCACTTGGGTCATCCCACACTTGATTCTAAATTTATCCCAAATCCACAAATTTATGGGATCCCTTTCTTTTCAGATTCCTTTTCAAAAAACCATCAAAATCAACATTGACCCTGGCAGCAAGGGTATCCCCCATGAACCCTGATGCACAGCGTGAAGAACGCTAACCACATTCCCCCATCAAAAAATCAATACGACCCCCTTATCTTTATTCATGGTCAAGCGTTCCATTCCACTTGGGTCATCCCACACTTGATTCTAAATTTATCCCAAATCCACAAATTTATGGGATCCCTGTCTTTTCAGATTCCTTTTCAAAAAACCATGAAAACCAACACATTGCCCCCATGAACCTTGATGCACTAAATAATAACCAGACCCTGAATCATTTTAACCAGGCTCCCCCATCAAAAAAATCAATATGATCCCCTTATCTTTATTCATGGTCAAGCTTTCCATTCCACTTGGCTCATCCCACACTTGATACTAAATTTATCCCAAATCCGGGATAAATCTAGAATCAAGTGTGGGATGACCCAAGTGGAATGGAAAGCTTGACCCTGCACAAAGATAAGGGGACCATATGAATTTTTTGATGGGGGAATCTGGTTAGCATTATTCAGGGTCTGGTTATTATTCAGTGCATCAGGGTTCATGGGGGACACCCTTGCTGCCAGGGTCAATGTGTTGATTTCGAAAAAAGGATCTTAAAAGAAAGAGATCCCACAAATTATGGGATCCTTTTCTTTTAAGGGTATCCCTCATGAACCTTGATGCACTAAATAAGAACCAGACCCTGAATCATTCTAACCAGGCTCCCCCATCAAAAAAATCGATATGATCCCCTTATCTTTATTCATGGTCAAGCTTTCCATTCCACTTGGCTCATCCCACACTTGATACTAAATTTATCCCAAATCCGGGATAAATCTAGAATCAAGTGTGGGATGACCCAAGTGGAATGGAAAGCTTGGCTCTGCACAAAGATAAGGGGATCATATGGATTTTTGATGGGGGAATCTGGTTAGCATTATTCAGGGTCTGGTTATTATTCAGTGCATCAGGGGTCATGGGGGACACCCTTGCTGCCAGGGTCAATGTGTTGATTTCGATGGTTTGTTGAAAAAGGATCTTAAAAGAAAGAGATCCCAAAAATTATGGGACCCCTTTCTTTTAAGGGTATCCCTCATGAACCCTGATGCACTAAATATTGACCAGACCCTGAATAATGCCAACCAGATTCCACCTTAAAACAAAACTGATCCCTCCAATTATCTACATGTGGAATCATCGTTAAATGATGACATGGCTGCAACGCTGGCCAAGCTAATGGTCACTGAAGCCTAAAAAAATTGATGCTCAACACCTCCTCCATGCACATATCGTGAATGTCATGCAGAATCCCTCCTGAGATGCATGCTAACCCATGCAAATTCTAATGATTTTCATGCTGAATCCCTCTTGAAATGCACGCTAACCCATTAACCCTCATGAAATTGATGCTGAACACCTACCGAAATGAATACAAAATCCACGCACACCCTCATGAATGTCATGCTGAATCCTTTCTAAAACGCATGCCAACCCGTTGACACTCTAATGCATTTCATGCTGAATCCTTCTTGGAATGCATGCTGACCCATGCCAATCCTCATAAAATTCATGCTCAGCACATCCTGAAATGATGCAATCCCTCCTGAGATGCATGATAATCCATTCAAAACCTAGTGATTTCCATATGCTAACCCATGCAAACCCTCATGAACATGATGCTGAACACCCCCTGAAATGAATGCAAAATCCATGCACACCCCCATGAATGCCATGCTGAATGCCTCCTTGGACGCATGCTAACACAGGCAAAACCTAATGATTTTTGCTGAATCCCTCTTGAAATGCATGCTAGCCCATGCCAATCCTCATGAAATTCATGCTGAACACCTCCTGAAACGCATGCAAATCCATGCACACCCTCATGAATGTCATGCTGAATCCTGCCTAAAACGCGTGCCAACCCATGTAAGTCCTAATGAATTTCATATTAAATACCTCCTGAAATGCAAACTAACCCATGCAAACCCCTTCATGCTGAATCCTTTCTAAAATGCATGCCATCCCATGTAAACCCTAATGGACTTCATGTTGAATGCCTCCTGAAACGCATACTAACCCATGCAAACCCCTCATGAATGAATGTCATGCTGAATCCTTTCTAAAATGCATGCCAATCCATGTAAATCCTAATGGATTTCATGTTGAATGCTTCCTGAAATGCATATTAACCCATGCAAACCCTCATGAATGGCATGCTGAATCCTTTCTAAACTGCATGCCAACCCATGTGAATCCTAATGGATTTCATGTTGATGCTAGCCTATGCAAATCTTAATGCACTTCGTGCAAAAGTTGTTGGCCCAAGACTACTTTAGAATTGGCCCAAAACTAAATTAGAATCCACCCCAACAAAATAAGAAAACCATGCCCAATACTACTTTTGAACTGGGCAATGCAAACCCTGTTGGAATCCCACTTGGAATACATGCCTGCCAACGCAAACCCTTATAAATTTACTTCCCAATCGTTCCTGGAGTGCATGCCATCAACCCCTGATAGAATGCATGCCAGCCCATGCAAACCCTCATGAAGGTGCTTCTCACTCCCGCTTGGAATACATGCCAGCCCATGCAAACCCTCATGAATTTCCTTCTCAATCCCTCCTAGACTGCATGCCATGCAAACCCTCATGAATTTCCTTCCCAATCCCTCCTGGAATGCATGGTAGCCCACTCAAACCCTCATGAATGTCCTTCTCAATCCCTCCTGGAACGCATGCCAGCCCATGCAAACCCTCATGAAATGCATGCAAAAGTTCTTGGCTCAATACTACTTTAGAATTGGCCCAATTCTAAACTAGTATTCCCCCAAAGCAAAATAAGAAAAAACAATGCCCAATACTACTTTTGAATTGGCCCAATTCTAAAAGTAGTATTCGAAAACCAAAAAAGAGCCAAATACTAAACTCCTTTAAACAAAGCCCGACCCAGGAAATTCTCCCCTAATCTTTATTTATGGTCATTCGGGGGGGGCCCTATTTATTGATCATAGGATGTTTGCTCCAGAGCCTTCCTCCTCCGAATTAAAAAGGGTAACCTGGCACCTGGCAAGCGCGAGGAGAGTGCACTAGGCGCAGCCAACTTTCCCAATTTTTGGCAATTAGACGGACACCAAGATTGCACACGGTCCTTATCCAACTGAGGAACCTTCACGGGGGCGGGCATCCTTCCATGGGTTATCCTCTTGCCACCTTTCCCAGGGAAGGTATTGGCACATGAAGAGAAACCCTACACGCAAGACATTCAAAATCAACTAGAAGTCTGCCCTGGGATGGCAAATTGTTCAGAAGACATTTAGGTTGAAATTCATGGACACGTAGAAACTTATTAGCATGCCTGGGTCACAGGGACAAAACCATGTGTACAGGCTGGGTGATTTTTTCAGCAATGGCAGGGAGAGGCGGTTCCATGGCCAAGTTCAGCCTTATTGCGTCAGGTTTTAGCGCTCAGTTTGACTCACCACGGGCGCAGACAGATATGACACACTCGGAACTTGGCCTAACACTACACCCCATTGCTCACGGCGTTGCCCCTTTAACCCTTTACAACTTGGGCTGCTTAGTTGATAAGATATTGGAAAGGTGTTCTTGATGCCCTTTCTGCAGACCCACCCCTGTGGTTTAGACGTGCAATGTGGCTGCTTTGGCGCCTCCAGCCGCCTCTCAATGGAGTCTGTCAACTTCTTGAACACCTGGCGCGCACAAACTGGTTGTGCGCTTTTTTCGGAGCCGTCTTTTGGTTGTACAAGGAAGCGGGCACATTTGGCTATTTTGAGGACCATGTCTCCAATTACGGGGAGAAGGATAATAAGGAGCCCGCACAATGTTGGGGGTTGCAAGGGGGTCTCGCAGCAGTTTCCCTTTTCAACAGCGGACAAAAAGGACCTCACAAAAAGATAGCCCCAGACTTGCATGCCAGAAGTCTGCCAATTTCGGCCATGGTCATGAGTCCCTTAATAGGAGTGTGCAACTTGTGCCCAGTCAGCCACCTGTGTTCTGCAACATTTCCTTACACGCGCGCAGCATGAAGCCAGCAATGAAAACACATGGCCACATGTTTACGTTCCTTCGTTCAAGGGAACCCCCAGCAGAAGTGAAAACGCATGGCACCAATTAGTCCTTAGTTCAATGGAACTTCGGCCAAGTGTTTACGTCCGTCGTTCACAGGGTGCCCCCGCAGCAATGAAACACACGTGGCACCAGATGTTTACGTTCCTTGGTATGGGAACTGCCGCAGAAGTGAAAACACAGGGCGGCAATGAGTCCTTCGTTGAATGGAACCCCCGTAGCATGGCTTTATTTTTTCGTCCGTCGTTCAGCAGGAGTCCCCGCAACAATGAAAATGCGCGGCGCTAACTGATGGGGTCCGTTGTTAAAGGCCCCCGCAGATGTGAAAACGCGTGGCACGAAATGGTTGCGTTCCTCATTCACTGGAACCCCTGCAGCATGCAAAACACACGGCGGCAAATGGTTTCGTCCGTCATTCACGGGAACCGCAGCAATGAAAACACATGGCGCCAAAGGATTACCTCCATTGAACGAGGGTTGATGCCGCTTTACATTGGGCCAACCAGAGCAGAGCCGGATGGCTCACGACCTTTGGCCTTCGGCGTGACGCATGCCTGGTGAAGAGACAGCCCTGAGGCGCGCTTTGGGAAGTGAGGTGTCAAGACGCCAAGTGTGGTGCGAATTCCTGCAGACCCCTGGATTGCACACCACGGGGCCCAATCATGAGCACGCCCCATCCTGGGCTTGCTCTCACGCCTTCACCAGCTCGCCTCCTGGCTATGTCTTGGAGCGTCAGGCGGACGCCCGGCGAGCAACTTTTTGATCAAAGAGACCTTGGCCTACGAGGAGTTTGTCGAGACCTTGCGAAAGGTCCCCGGAGTATACGCGAATGAAATACCTCTTTCATCGCTAGACTCTCTAGCCTGCCAGCGGCATGGGTGCTTACATGGCACGGGATGCTGATAGAGCCAATCAGATATGGACATGTGCTGCTTTTTATCACAAGAAGGTGCACAGATTGACCTGGACAGCTTTTCCCACGGAGTGGAAGCATTGCCTCCAAGTAGATAGCCTGGCTTTGTGGGTTCTGCTCGCTCGCATTCCTTCGATGCCACGGGCGCCCGCATTCAAGAACCTGAAGTCATCAACCTTCGCGAATACGAAGACGCAAAGTCCAATGGTTTGATGAAAGGTACGTTTGAACCTCAATCCTGCAGCTTTGGAAACGAGATTGCGCAACCTGGGAATTCGGGCTCAGAACCACAACCTTGCGTGTCATTTATTTGGTAAAAAGAGGCTCATGTTGACAATTCTGGTATCCGTGATAGCCGTTTTGTGAAGCATGGCCTGATCACGCACCATGATGATGCTTTGTCAGATTTTCGACATCATCTACATGAGGAAAGATCCATATGTGTGCCTCTTCGTTGAACCGCATGAGCGCAGGCCCCGGTCATTTATTTGGGCACGCAGTGAGGTGAACATTTAAGAAGCTGTTGGTGCGGTGCATGTGGGCAGTCCTTGTTCAGTTGAAAAACTGTGGTGGTCATCCTGTACAAGCGCACGCGGTTCAGGAAGAAGGTTGCGTCTTGCCAGGCGGGAACACCATCGAGAGGCGAACATCATCAAGGATACGCTGTCCAGCACATGTGTGTGGCCATTCATTCATCCAGCATCCAATCCGTCCGTCCATCCATCCAACCCACCCATCCATCAATCCATCCATCCACCCACCCGCCCATCCATCCATCCATCAACCCAGCCATCCATCCACCCATCCATCCATCCATCCCGCACGACGGACATGCGAGGCAGGCGTGGGGAGCAGTAAAGTATACTTTGCGTACTACTTGTGTACTCACAAGCTACGATTTTGCAGAACTGCGGGAACACTGTTCGCACACTATTTTGTACGTAAAACTTGTTTTCCTTCAGCCAGATCCTTGGGAATGCGCTTCGCCTACTACTTTTGATTTTGTCCTCAACAGCCACGATGTTCGATCCTGAGCTGCAGGATTGCTCTTCGCATGCTGCTGCTCTCAAACCTTGCAATTTTGCGCACAAAAACAAGATGTTAAAGGTTACGATTGCCGAGCCGGAGATGCTGCGGACCAACGGGGGATCGAGCCCCCGACCGCACGCTTGCGAAGGTCCGCGGACCAGTTAACGAATTCGCACGACAGCCAGAGTGCGTCGACACGTGCCATCTCCGCAGGGTGCTGTGTTCGGGCACGTCGCTGGGTTAGCGGCGACCAGGACACGTTTGCACGGCGCCACGGCACTGCAGCGAGAGCGATCCGACACGCGCGATAACCGCAGAGGCCACAGTGAGAGCGATCCGACACGCACAATCCCCGCAGAGGGTTTGCAGAGATCAAGACAGATTCATGCACGGTGTAGATTCCACGCTGGCGCATTCATTCTGCAAAGCTCGAACTTTGTCATATAGTTCAGCTGCCTCACTCATAGTGCGGTCTGTCTCTGCACGGCGTTTGCGCAATTCTTCTTCAAATTGTTCATCCGCAATCCAAACACTCTCACTGCGTGGTGTTTATTGGGGATGATGATCTGTCCCCTCTCCGGGATTTGCGGGCTTGTGCCCTTTCACCGTTCGATCATAGTCTGCTCCACGTGAGCGTGACTTGGTGCTTGGGCTCCAACACTCAGCACAACGGTATCTCCACTCCCATGTCCGGTTGGCCCGGGCGTGCCCTGCGAAGACACTCCAACACCAGGGGCTGCCGCCGACCCGGCAAATGTACCTGAAGACCGACCATGGCACCTTGTCTCAAAAAGTATAGGAATCCCGAACAATTTCTGGTTCAATAATATAGGACAGTGGGAGACCCCTCTCGTCCTTATTGATCAATGTCTCACAGCTCGTGAAAGACCCCTACTTCTGATAACCCGCGAAACCGAGGGTATTTGTGTGGGATACTGGTGGTTTGGTTGCGCCACCCTCCGAAATAACTGCAATACACGCGGATTCTCCGTGAGCACGGTTTCCAATGATCCTGTTCCGATCGGAAAGTGAACCACTAGGCATGACTTGAGCCAAACAGCACGGTAGGTGGCATGCGCCTTGCAACACTATTCACACAAAGAGTCGACTAAGGCATCAAGAAGCTGGCCCTTGGTGCGCTGCTGGCCAGACGTGGGGCCCGTCTTCGAACCGCCGAGGCCGTTTTAAAGAAGCGAGACTCGCCGCCGTCAAGGAGCCGCCCAGCCCGGCCCAGAGCCAATCAGAAGCTGTGCATTGCGAAGACCGTCCCCAAAGATCCCAAAGCTCGCAGCACCTAGAAAAAATGCCCGCGCTCTTACCACATAGTTCTTACACACGCACAAAAAATAAGCCGACCCCTCCAAAGCCTCTTACAAACTAGACCCCGGTTCTCCCGAAAGCAAGTGTGACAAAGATGCAAGAATGTTGCGACGTACACAGGGGTGATGTTGCTTGTGTACACTGCGTCGTGCCACGTAACCAGGCACTACTCTACTCGACAACTGAAGTTCTTAAACCTACGCTTACGCACGCCAAACAAACATCTTAACATGCAGCAATCGAGTTGCAGCATTGCCTCATGATCCATGCTAAGCGGTGAACGTGAAACTGCGCAACCACGCCCACGCATTCAACGCGCGCCGCTGTACAATCGCTTCGCCCTCGCTTGACAAATGCAAATTGTTATGTATTTATGTCTCTCTCTCTCTCTCTCTTTATCTTTATCTTTTTCTTTGTTTTATTTCTCTCTCTCTCTCTCTTGCTTTGTCTTTTTCCATGTCTCTTTCTCTTTATCTTCCTTTTTCTCTTTCTCTTCCTTTTCTCCTTCTTTCTCTTTCTCTTGCTCTCTCTCTCTCTCTCTATCTCTCTCTCTGTCTGTTTTCCTTTCTTTTTCTCCCTCTCTCTCTCTCTCTTTCTGTCTTTCTCTTTCTCTTTATGCTTGTTTCGCTTATCTCTGTTTCTCTCTCTCTCTCTCTCTCTCGCTCTTGTCTTCTCTCTCTCTCTCTTGCTTTCTCTTTTGCTTTCTCTTTCTTTTTCTCTGTCTCTTTCTCTTGCCCTTTCTCTTCTTACCATTCTCCGTCTTTTTCTGCTTCTTTTTCTCTCTCTCTCTCTCTATCTTTCTCTTTCTCTTTCTCTGTCTCTGTCTCTCTCGCTTTCTTTCTTGCTTTATTTCTCTTTCTCTCTCCTTCTCTTTCTCTTTATCTGTCTCTGTTTCTTTCTCTCTCTCTCTCTCCCTCCCTCCCTCCCCCCTCCCTCCGTCTCTCCCTCTCCCCTCCCTCTCCCTCTCCCTCTCCCTCTCCCTCTCCCTCTCCCGCTCCTCTTTCTTCTTTTTGGCATGGCCTTAGCTTCAACAAACTGCGCATTTTTCTTCTTCGCGGCGGGCCCTCCCTGTAGTTGGATGCAAAATCGTCCTCCAGCGTGACGGTAACAACCTCAATGTTCCGTTCGCGTGTCAAGACAGTAAACCTGGACGGCCATTTAATCACTTTTCACGGGGTCATTTTGCTCAGGACCATGACAATCACTCTTCGCGGCCATTGCATTTTTTCACGGCCGCTGCTTGCACTTAACGTTGTTTCACGGTTCCATGTCTGCTGGGATGGATGAATAGACGGACAAACAGGATTTTGGATTGGAGTGGCTTGGATGGATGGATGGATGGATGCATGGATGGAGCACGCGGAGCGCCATAAGGACTTGGGGAAAGCTGGCCCCAAGCGCGGGCGATGCAGGGGATGCAGGCAATGCGCGAAAAACACAGGGGCTTCCGAGGACGCCGGCGACGCTGGCAATGCAGCCGGATTGCAGCGTATTAGCAGTGTTTTGAGCCTTCCCCCAGCTCGATTTCCAATGGCCGCGCGGGCACTGATGATGCGCCAAGGGCGCTGGGCAAGCAGACGATGCGCTTTGGGAAGTGGAACGTCATGGGCGGTAGTACTAAGAAAGCTTGAACACGCTGGAAACACGGAAAAAGCATAACTCGCGCGGCACACCGGCTAGCGGGGTGTGTGCACCTCATGCCGGCTTGTGGGTAACTTTAAAACACCAATGCGATTGGCGACTATCAAGGCTATTTAGGAGTCTAACAATTTGCACAGCCCACGTATGGAGTGCAAGTCAACCAAGCGTTGGCACAAACGTACAGGTTTCTGCCCCGCAAAGAGTCCATGAACCGATTCCGCTGAGGTGGCTGGTTAAAATCCACAAGCAGTGAGCGCTGCCCATCCAGCGGACGATTGGGTTGCTATAGTCCTTGTTGGGAAACCAGTACACAATCTTGTTGGCTTTGGACAGCCCCGGTCTCATACTTCAGTCACTCAACCGCGTTTTGTGCGTCGGCCTTGCCTGTTGCAAGCGTGCAGCCAAAGAACCCGTTTCGACCCACTCCCTGGCTTGCGGTCAAAGCGTCAAGAATTGAAGGGGAACCGGAGAATCTCTGCAGGTGCCGTGAAAACACCACACGCACGCTGCCTAAAGTTGCTGAGAGCTGACAAGACCGTGTGCGCCATTGCTCAACATGCAAAACGGGCAATGCAAACAAGGTAGGGATGCTTCAAAAGTCTGAGACACCGAATTGTCCACCGTCGCAGGCAGCTCGTTGAGGATAATCTGCCTGACACATGGATCAAGTTCGGACAGACATCGCTCAATTCCAAAACGCCAAAAATGTAAGCATTTGGCAACTCGCAGCCCCGAATGCGGCGATCTCTTGCACATCACACTGATTCCATCGCAAGACAAACGGCAAAATCCTTGTGAATTAAGACAAGGGTGGCTTGCAGCTAGGAGACTGAGGGCGCTAGGACCTAGCCCAAAAAGGCTCAAATTGGCGTTGCTTGGTTGCTTGGCACATCTCAGAAGCATCAGAAGCATGCAGAAGCATCACCCAGAGAAATGAAGCACGCCGGAGGACAAGCAAGCATGAAGCATACGCGCATCTCAAAGGAACCTTCGTGGATGTTGGCAGCCCGAGATAGGCTGCACTGTGTCAAAACAATTGCTCAAAGAGCCTCCTTCTGGCCCCCCTTGGGCCTGGCAACTGGTGTAAACAAATGCGAGCCAGCCTGAACAGCAAGGACAGCGCTCGAGGGCTTAGCTCGTCTTTGACGCGGGCGTCTAGTTGACTCAGCTGCTCTTCGACTCTCTCCTCAAATTCAGCGGAGTGCAACAAACAAGACACAAGCAGCACCAACATGGTTCCTTCTTGGTAAGTACCCCCCCCCGCTACGTTGCTTGAGTGGGTGGATACGAATTAGCGCGCCGCTGTGCATAAAGGTCGCATGGGCACTCCCATTGTTGTATCGCTTCCAGCGGTTCAGTTGCTCAGTGACCTTGTCTTTAAGTTGACCAGTTGAACTGGGGAGCCCGCCAAGCACAAGAAGTGTGCCAATGAACAACTTTTTTGGACTTTTCCGACTTGTTGCATCCGATCGGCCTCTCGGCGATCCTCCAAACGGATAATGTCACTATGCAAACAAGGCACACTGCCGCGCGAACGTCGTGGGGCGGCTCTTGCTGGCGCAGCCGAGAGGTCATTGAGGCCTGCACGATTTCGCTGCAGACGCTGCCACGTTTCCACCAGAGGCTTGCAGCTGGCTACCCACCTCCACCCAAGGCGCCGAAGGCGTGCGCAGCGCCCGCATCAACGCGGCCGTGCGCATGCGCCATGTGAATGCCATTCTCAGCCACAAGAAGAAGGACCCGCAACAACCACTTGGTCCGCTGAGCGGCGGAGGGCGGTGCCAATTCGCACGCCTCGGCGCAAGTTGCCAACGAGCATCTGCTAGTTGCTGCGGGCCAGCAGTGCCAGTTGACATTTGAAAGTTCACCACCGTGTGACCGGCTCAGAGGGTGAATACGCCGCCAGCAGCCAAGCGCGCGCAGCGTATGCAGTCGGGCGGCGCTTGCAGAGGCTCACGCTCATTCCTCGCTTGCTCACTGACTGCTTTGGAACCTATGTCCATGCGCAACTTACGCAAAAGGCCTACCGTCTCCTGGCTTTTCTGAAGCCGTGCCTTGTAGGCTTGCCAAGGAAGGCAACTGCTACACCTTTTTGCAAGTAAGTGAACTGCGTTACTATGTTCACAGAGCAAGGATACAACGCAAGGAGTCAAGCGGGCTCTGATAGTCGCTTGATGAGACGTGCATTCACTTTACTGCCTTGAATGCTCAGGCCAGCCCGAGTGGCCGCAGCCATGAGTTCACTAAGTTGGTACCACAAGTCATGGTTGGTTGGACAACATTATGATCATACCCTTGACTACGTGGAGGCAGTCGGACCATACGCGCGTTTGGCCGGCAAACCTGAGGTGCAAAGCAAACCGCGCTCCAAGCTCAGCCCGGTATGAAGACTGGATCTCCTGCGAAGGGCTGTCCCCTTGATCTCCTTCCGGACACAATCCGCTTGGCAGGGTCTGCCGGGTCATTGGAAGCGCCGCCAGTAAAAGGGTCAACCTCTACCAAGACAGCAAGTGGTTCAAACTGTCGCAGGGGACTCCACATGCCCAGAAGGAGTAGCGGTGTACTGAGTACCAGTGTGAACAACCCGCGTCAGGCCCTGCTGATTTTGACTAAGGCGAGAACAGTGGCGCAAAGACTCATACACATCCACTGTCGGCAGCCCTTGCGAGCTGGGTGCAAAGGCTCCTTCGCCACTCCCTGCGCCATGCGCAAGTAAGTCGCAACAAAAGTTCCTGATACGGCACACGCCTTGAAGATCAAGGGGGCAAATGTCATCGACTATCAACCCGTCGGGGATGACGTGGAAGGCGAAAGAACACAACACCCAGGGGCCACATGGATATGTTGCGGCCGGGCGCATGGCGAGTTCAGCAAGCGTGACTGCATGCATACGAGCATCAGCCAACTCCCCGAAAAGTCTCAGACAATTTCCAGCAAGGCATGGCAGGCAGGGCCGACCATGGGGGACTCCAAGCGCACATACGAATTAGCACCTGACGTTGTCTTCCTTTGGCGGCGTACGGACAAGTTTGGGCCACACTTGCTGTGCGGCTTCTAAAGCATTCCTTAGGAGGCATTCGTGTACCTTGCTGAGCCCTGCTTATGCGCCCCAAAGTCACGGCAGCTGTGCTTGATCTGACACGCCAAGGCCGCCAGCTGCTCACGTCCTGACGCTCCGCATAGTCTAAGCGCACGTCGAACACGCGGACTGAGTGTTGAACTTAGCGAGATGAATCCGCAATCGCAGCCGGCGTCCTTGCGACTCCTGCCCAGTAAGGGACTCTGCGTGGGGTACCTCTTCCTGGAGGTGGGCATAAGCAAGAGGTTGATGACCAGCATAGCGCAGCCTTCTGGAAAGCCTTTTGTGCTTTGTGATCCCTGATGCGAAAACTGTGTCGCGCACAAAGCGACCCACCATCCTCTGAGGATGGGGGCTGGTACACAAAGCTTCACGCATGCTGGAAGAACCGGCGAGCGCGGCAAAATATTAAACGCCTTCTGCAGGTCACAAACTATGGAGAACACATTTATTGGCCGGAACGAGTTGAGGCCCCTATGACTACCTCCGCTACTTTAGCCTCTGGCACTTCAAGCAAATAGTCCAGGTATGGCTTTTTTTGTGTGTGTGAGCCTTCCATCGTGGAGACCATTCGCCGACAAATGCTCGGAACACGTCCGAACACCGCCCTAGTCTGCGCGATCGTATCAGCTCGAAGGTTCCCAACGTCAGTCAACCAAGCAACATCCGCTTCAAGATGGACTGGCTGGCGCCAACGATTCCAGATACACAACGACTCCTCAAAAAAGAAGAAACGTGCTTGCGCTGAGACACTGCGCTCATCAGGCATCCTGGCGTAGTCCTGGAGCCTGCGGACCGGTTTGAACCACCACGCGTGCTGCAAGGCGCCTACAGGTACAAGAGGCGCTCGCCCTGCCAGGGTGCAAAGATGGGCACGGCCCTTTGCGTAACGGCGCGCTTCAAGTGTGGCGCCTCGCCCACGACGGCTTCGGCTGCGTAGAGCAAGAGCAATAGGTACTGGAGCATGCGAAGGCATCATGGCCGGCACGCACGCAAGCGAGTTCTGGCGACCTGAATGAATAATCAATGCGTGACACACCGTTATAGGTTGGCTAGATTTAATACGCACGCTCATATAACGGATCAACACCTGTACGGGCGACCATGCGGACGCACGGGCAGCGCGCGGACGTGTGTACGGACATGCGCGCGGACGTACGGGCGGCGCACCGACGTGTGTGCAGCACGCGCGTGCGTGTGTACGGAAACACGCGCGGGTGGGCGGACGGATGTGCGCACGCGCGTGGCCAGAAAATATATGGCCTTATTTCAGCAAATAAGGTCTTATTCAAAAGGCCTCATTTCCAAACGTGCCTGCGGTCGTGCGGGCGCGCGGGCGCGCTTGTGGGCGTGCGGCTTACGTGTGGGTGTACGTACGGGCATACGGCCGTGCGCGCATGCGCGTGCTTCTTGCAGCAAGGGCTGAGTTTTATCATTGGATCGATGTATTTGAGTCATGCGTGAAAGTGGCGGCTGCCACGACTCTAAAAAAAAGCCAAGCACCAGCAGTCTAGGGGAGAGAGAACGCTACGGTCTTACATTTCGCTCAATCACACTGTCAGGATTGAGGTTTTCAAGTGACAGTGGAGGCATAAACTCATCACTCCCATCGGGCTTTGCAATTGGTGGAAAGATCACGGGTGGGGTGGCCCAGGCATCCATGTCGCAAAGTTCATGCCATCTTGGCTGTGAAACATATTTGACGGCTTAGGGTTGAGTTGTTTCCGGCAGACCTTGCGCACAAGTCTGCTTTTACCAGGACGCTCCCATTGTCTGAGCCGGCTCCACAATTTGCGAAACTCGGGCCAAAGCCCTAAAATAGGAGGTCCGCTCCATATCAGAGCCAGTCTCCTAACCGCGTTACAGTTTCCAAGGTTATCAACAACTGTACAGGAAAAATTTAGGACACCCCCGAGATGGTTGACCTCTCCACTCCAAGGAATAGTGGATCTAGGCAAAGCCCTATGAGTGAGAAGCAACCCAAAGAGGTTGCCGATCTCATTACCGCCCTCAAGAAGGGAAAGGTTGATTCGTTTTGGGTGCGATTATTCATCGCCTTGTCGCCAAGGTCGAAGATCTCGGGCGTAGGAATGATAGGAGCGATCAATGCATCAACCAACTTTCCACCGAGGTTTTTTCCTGGAGGGCCAAGTACGACCAATGCGTCCATGCTAATAACAAACGCACTCAGGCTGCAAGCGTACCCACGCAGCTCTCACCAGGGGCGAGAGATATGGCATCCGAGCTTGGCCAACTCGTCAAGGTCGTGTCAGATGATCTACGACGATGTCGTACAATCAACCAAGTTCAAATTGATTTTGAATCCCTGTCTGGTAGAGGGCTGAGCTTATCGCTCGCGCTGACAAAGTCGAGAGATCCCTTGCTCAGAGCGGGCCCAATCGTCCCACAATCAGCGGCGCCAATCTCAGAGTCGAAGAGTTAGACGCTCGGGTAGGTCAGATCAGCAGACTAATACAGACTGCTGACAAACGATGGAGCAGTACCAGTGAGGGTACTAAATGGGTAAAAGATCAGCTCTGTGAAAAGCAGACTACTCTTGAAATTGTTTCGAGGGAACGCAAGTCTTATACGGACAAGCAGAATACCCACAATATGGCTGTTTCAACGACGCTCAACGGTAAAATTGTGCAATTGCTCGGAGTTGTAACAACTACAGCTCAGAGGATTCATGCCGTTGAAATCAGGCGTCAAGCAGTGGTTTACACGGCCCTGCAGGGAAGGCGCTCCCAGCCTCGTAATCCAGACAAGCGACCTCCCCAGCCTGGTCCGCCGGACAATGATCCTCCGCCTCCGACTCGTCGGACCGGCAAAGTTCGAAATAAGGGGGGAAGAGGGTGGCGTCAAAGGGAACCCCGATGACGATGGTGCATCTAGATGCAGATACGTTGGAGATGGCCAAATTCACCTTTCGTGCTGACTTTTTCTGCAAGGGCTGTAAGGGTGATATTTGCGAATACTGTTTCTCCTTCAAAGAGGACTTGTGCGAGATGCGCCCTCGCGACGGACCCCGGCGCGGTGTCTGTAGGGAGATTTCCTTGTTGACCAAGGGAATCACCTGTCAATTTTGCAAGACATTCTACTGCAGCAGGCATTCTGCCGGGCAGGACGATTATAGCAGACCCCTGTTCTCTTGCCTCTTCGGCCACCTGCTGATAGAAATAGGCAGTATTCTCCGCCCAATCGTTCCAAAGGCCGCTCCGGCCGAGGGCCGTGAGACTGGTTATTATCCAGGTTTCGGGCCAAGGATCCTTCTGGTCTTGAACGCCGGAGAGGAACTGCAGAATGCGCAGTCCAACAAAATTGGGGAGTGTCGGATATGCGCAAAAAGGGCATGTGATATGCGCATCCCTGGCGCTACTCGCATTTGTCCTCCCTATCCATCGCTGGTTCACAAGTTCCACCACATCTTTTTAGAACTGGCGGCGGCGGCTTCAGTGGTCATCATGACCCAAACTTCCCGTGAGGGCCAAGGTTGCTCGCCTCACCAATGCGGCAAATGATTGCCACGACAACCCAAATGACGTACCACGTGAGAGTCAACACAAAACTTGTTGGGCTCAACACTCTAGAGGCTGGCCTCCCAACACCGACAAGCCCCGCTTTGCGTCGTCGCTCCCTGCGGCGGCGCTGGGCCATCAAACTTGGCCATCTGGGCATCCAGCATGCGCTGCAGAGATGCTGCGCGCTGGGCATTGCCGAGCGCCCTTGCTGCACCTGATCAATGTTGGCTTCCAAGCTTGCAATTTGCTGCTTGTCACATCTTCCATAGGCGCATCCTGCGCCTGCTGCTGAACCCCATGTCGCTTGAAAGCCTGTTTTTGATACGCTCACTGATCTGGGCATCAACTTGCTGCAAAACTTCTCCAGTACCGACAGCCTGAACTTTTGGCGCTACATGCAGCAGGGCCTGTTGCCAAAGATCAGTTTGAACCAATGGGTGAACTGCCGGGCAACGGTGCGCAGGTATGGCTTGCTTCACTTGAGGCAACCTCTGGGGAGGTGGCTGCACATTGATGACCGTCTCACCTTGCTTGGTGTCAACGATGCTAACAGGGGGACCGCGGCATGGATCTGCCAGAAGATACGTCCGGCCTCTGCAACTGTAGCATCCGTCTGTGTGTGCTCGGCTTGCCACTTGACGGCTTGCAACACCTTGGTGACCCCTTCACGCTGTCTTCTTGTTAGGGTGCTTTGAAGGGCATCAAAGGGGACCCACACATCTTGTGCAGCTTCCCCACTTTTGCGGCGAACTGCATGAGCCATGCTTTGGGACTCAAAACAAAGGGCGCGGGACATAAGTGAGTCACCATGTCCTCCCAAATGGACCGCAAACTAAGCCACTCGGATCACCTCGCGCAGCTGCCTCTAGCTCTAGGCCCGGCCCAGACCCGCATCTGAACGGTCTTTTTTCGAGTCAAGCGCACAGACCCGGAAATACAACTGAACGTTTTTGAACCTTGGCTAAACATGAACCAAACTTGCAAAAAGGCAAAAATATCGGCTTTGAACAGATGAGCCGGCCGCTTGAAAAGCCTGCGGACAAAATAGTGCGTACCCGAAACAACAACGTGAATTGGTGAAACATCGTCCCTTCACTATATCGTACACAACGGTTCACATTATTGTTTGCTCATGCCAGTTTTTCGCACCGGGTATCCTGATTGATGAATGACACTGACATCGCATACCAATATTGTCTCCCACTGATCTACCTAGGTGCGGGGCATTAACAAACCTCAGACAGCCTTGCAAGGGCACTTACATTTTGGGCGACCGTAGCATGTGTCAATGCGGGCCAGCAGCCTAACTGGGCGAACATGTCCCCTAAATCCGCCGACCCTCTGCCTCCCGTCCCAGCCAGGGGACCTGCGTGGGATGCAACTGGAAGTGATTGGAATCAATGATGTCCCTGGAAAACACGCCCGAACGCAGGAAAAGTGGATTTCCAGGACCGGTCCCGGGACCGGTCCCGGGATTACTTGTGGTCGGTCCCAGGACCGCTCCTGGAACCAGTCCTGGGACTGAAGCCGGTCCTGGATCAAGTCCTGATGCCGCCTCAAACCGCTCCAGACACCTTTCCGGACTGGCACCCGTGTTTTAGGACACTGGACAGGGTCCCAGGTCCCAGTCACTTTCGGCGGGCACCGACGGCCGTGTTTCTAGGACCAGCTCAACGTGACTTGGGCACAAAGCGGCCCGTGCGGTTATTCATGGACGAGTTGCCATCTGTCTGACTTTTCCGTTAATCCTTGTGGTAGTAGAGGATCCCTGAATCTATTCTGGAAGAGAGTCCAATACGTCGAGCCAAACCGCGCCAGACTGGGACCAGCCTGGACAGGGTCCCCAAGTCCCGGTCCCTGCCGGCGACCGGTCCAGGGCAACTTCGGGAGGGCCAGTTTCAGGGCGACCCCGGGAGAGGCGACTGCTCCCGGGCCAACTCGAAGTGACTTGGGCGCAAGCCGGCCCAAGCGGTAATTAACGGACTAGCTGCCATATTTCTGACTTTTCCGTTAATCCGCCGTAGAGGGTCTTATAAGTGGTCCCTGAGTTTGCGGGCGTGTTTCAGGACAGGTCCTTGTGACTTTTCCCTCAATGCGCCGAGGGTCGGCGGCAGCAGGCGGGAGCCTGGTTAATAGACGTTCAACACTTCATCTAACTGGCTTGCCACCTTCAGGCAAGGCTCTATTCGCTTCAGCAGGACATCTCGTCGTTGTCCCTCCTTCTTTAGGCCTCAAAGGCCATCGGTCAAAGAAACTGGGCGTGGCACCCCGCTGAGGGGTTGAGCACATATGAAAGAAGGGAGAACAAAAGAGGAAGACCCCGTTAAAGGGCCCAACGAAAAAGCAGGAGGGGTCAAGGAGAGCAACAAGCCAACCATTGAGAGAGGCCTTGTCCTGAGTTTGACACCCCACGGCTGTTCCCCCGCCCAGCGGGGAATGGATCTTTGGTTGCCAGCCATTGCAAAAATTGCAGACTAAAAACCGTAGGAAGCTGAGGAAACCAACCCTCTGCGGCTGGTCCCCGAGCAACCAAGAGAAACCAACGTCCTACCCGTGGGCCATCGTGGGGCCATGGCTGCGACAACCAAATCAATCCCTGCCTGTCCGAAGCTCCAAGGTCTGCTCCTTGAGGGGCTCGATCTGGTCTAACCTAAGACACGTGAATCCTGGTGGATGCGTCTCTGAGTTCAGAGGCTGACAAAATGGATGTGTGTAAAAAATATATATATATATATATATATATATATGTGTGTGTGTGTGTCTATATGCGCCCCCCAAAACCCACGTCCGGGATTTGCAAGGGGAGTGAGGTCACCTGTGACAGAAGTTACCAGAAATGGGCTCATGGCACAATGTTGGCAGAATTATGTAGATGGTGGTTCATGAAGACTTTGGTTGGAAAAACAGACTCTTCTAGTAGACCAGTGTCAGACTTTCTCCAGCAGATGTGTGAAGCCTGGAATTGCAGCAGATATTTGACGTTTCGTAGAGATGGTTTAGGTTGTGAGAGTTGTTGCAAAGATGCCTGGAAGATGTTAGGGCTTAAGGAGTCAAACGGTGAAGCCCAGACGACGCAGCACAGACAAAGCTGCGTTGGCGCGCTATTGTGCTTGGTATGCCCATACATCATACACCCGCCTGTAGCTGTAGCAAGACCACTCCCTGCATCTACATTCCTGCGCTAGGGGACGGACAAACTAACTTTGCCATTGTCCACTCGCATAGCTCCCCAGATGCTCCCATAGGTCAGCATTCTTCAGCCAATACTGGTACTGCGCGGACCGGAGCTGATGAAGCATCACTCTGTCCTTCGATCAATGACTGCGTGCCGGACTTAACCTTCACGAGCTTCTTCGTGTCCGGATTCTTGTGGGTCACTATCTTCCATGTGTGGGAGGTTGCCACCTCCAGTGGCCCTTGATGAGCTTCCGCTTTTTGCAGTGAATGACCTTGTCATGCAAGACTTCATTGACCTTGACTTTGTATCTCTTGGATCACCTTGCGATCGCGGAGCCGCTTGTTGGCAAGAAGTGTCCACTCGATCTTTCGGATCGCACCTGGGCCAGGAGCTCTCTTCTCAGACTCTTTTGGCGTGAAACGGTGCAACACCAAGGTTCGAGGCTGCCCGCGCTGCCACGCAACAGGGCTCTTGTGTGGCCTCCCAGGCCCATCTTGTCGAAGGTTGTTTCATCGACCTCGGCGGCACCAGCACCGAAGACGATGTCCTTCTCCTTTTCCTCCACCCATGCTTTGCGTGTGAAGCAGATCCGCTTCTCCATGTCCTCAATGGCCTTATGGTTGATGTACAGGATGCGATGGATCTTGCGCGTGCTAGCCATGAGGAGCTCGGTCGTCAACCTCTTCCATACCCTCGAGGTCCCACTTCAGCATCTCCACGGGTGCTTGACATTTTCCCACGCCTTGCTCTTCTTCGAAGCCGGTCTCTTCATTGTGGCGCGGCCCTTCCCGCGCTTGGGTTGAGCGAAGCAGCGCAACTTGGCAGTGAACATGCTAGCGAGTGAACATGCTCAAGAAACCCTTTCGAACAACATGAGAGCGTGGTCACGCGCATGCACGTACAAGCATGCGGGCAAATCAAGAAGCTTCAGCACGAGTCGAGCCTTTTATAGCCTTAGCACGCACGCAAGACCTGTGCAGCGTTTCCATTACGTATCTATGAAAGCTGCCTCCTCATCCGCCGCACGATCATACTCGTTGAAGTGCGTTGCCGCTGCTGGACGAAGCAGCGCCAGGCTCATGAAAATCATTCTCTTCTGCTGGGATGGGCTGCGTTTCATCCGTGTCCAACACTTGGCGGGCGCCGGCAGCCACAGGGATGCCAAAGTCCCGCGCCAAGCGCCTCTTGCAAGCGACAGTGCCAATTGGCAGGGGATTGGGGAAGATCCACTTGCCATCGTTGTCCACGTGTCCGTGGCCACTGGGCGCGTCTTCTGGCTCTTCCTCTGGTGCGGCAGAATCCCAAATTTGAGCAACTTGTCCTCTTGCTAAACCTACAACAAGTACTTGTTCAAGTCCTCCTTCGTGTTCTCATTCCTGCCAGCTGCCGTCATCTTGGCCATCCCCGTCTGGATCACGCGCATCTCCTTCTAGAGGTCAGTCTTGAAAAACTCCCCTGTCTCGTACTTGCTGCGCTTGAAGGCGTAGTGCGTTGTCGCGCTCGGACAAGCCATCCACATGAGCATTGGCGATGTTCACCCGGTGGACCACTGCGTCCGGATTCTGGTCAGGAAGGCGAATATACAAGGCATTCTTGCCGAAGACCAGGACAACTGAGCGCTTTGAGACAGGTTTTACAAAGTAGCCGCATGAACTCATCAGGCGTCATCTCGGCACGGCTCATCCTCTTCATCCAGGTCGTTGGTGGCAAAGCCCCTCATGCCGTTCCTAATGAGCTTGACGTCATCTAGGAAGAGCGCCTCCTGTATCTGCAGAAACCGGTGCCTGAAGTTGTCAAGTGATCATTGCTGGGGTTTTGCCCACGCCTGGCCACCCCACCATCATGATGCCAAAGCTCGTCAGCAGAAGGTAGATTGCGAGCAAGGGCACATCTGCGAAGATGCTCTTTAGGCTGAAGGTGGTGAGAGGGAACTTGTTCAGGCAACTTGGGCTCGGGCCAGCCTGCAATGGGTGTCTCGGCATCATCCGTTGCGGGCATCGCACTCTGGATCCTCATTCAGCAGAAGCCCAAGTTTGCGACCGTCGAAGGCCGTTCTCTTCTTTGGCCTTCAGGGCAGCCCAGCTGACATGGTGTCCTGGTAGACGTTGAACCAGAGAAAGCATTGCTTTTTTTCAAGGAGACGAAAAAGAGGAATATAGGACGTGCCAGAGCAGTACTCTTGCTTGGGTTGTAGGGCTGGCGGCAGCAGATGCAACGCGCCTGCCTGCATGTGTGAGCCGACTTGTGGGACATTGAGCTGGACATCGTACAGGATAGTCAAGGACTTCACTCCTTGCGCACTACGACAAGAACCCAGGCTGCTCGGGTTTTGGATGCTGTTTGAATGAGCAGGAAGGAGAAGACACTTCGTCGTACATCGAGCTGGAGCTGGAGGAAAAATGCCCGCAGTGGCCGCGTTGTCAACCTCAAAGACTCCTTGGCCGAAAAGGACTACCAGATAAGCGTGCTGACCGCCGCGCAGAAGCTTGAGGAGGAAGTGGCCTTTCTAAAGATCCAGGCGGCCAAGAACCAAATAAAACCAGCCACTGTACATAGTGCGATGTACCAGTACCTAGCAATCCTGGATCAAAAAGAACCTAGCTGCAGTAACTCACACCTATCCCTGAAGCTAGAAGAGCATTGTTGCATGAAGCCGTGGCCCAGTATGGTAGGATTTTTCTTCCGAGATGTGACACCGAAGTTCCCGATGTAGAGTCTGACGAGGACTCTGACACTGAGTCAGGCTCTTCCTCTGCATCGTGGTGGGCTTCGCCTTCGGACTCGTCCGTGCAGTTGGCCTCACTACACTCCCCGACGTCGTTGGCCTCGATGCTGGCATTCGGATTCCCATCTTGCTCCGCATGGCGACCCTCGGTCTCGGCAATGTTTTCCAGCGCCAGGTTTGCGGCATGGCCACCCTCGGTCTCGACAATGTTTTCCAGCGAGAGGTTTGCGGCACTAGAGGCATCTTCTAAGGCCAAAAGGGGCTGCGCCCGCCTCCTCCCATGTTTGAGAGGCAAGCGAGATGGGTGAACGTGAGCGTGAACGTGACCATCCTTGGATTGCGGCACATCATCTGACAGGGCATGAGCGATCTCACGCACCAAGGATCTCGGAGGGTACCCGACACATTCACTTTGCCCACGGTGATGTCACAGAATAAAACTATATGTCAGGATTTTGCCGTTTGCGCGGATGGTGCACAAGTTGAAAGGATGATGAAGGTGCACACCCAAACAGGAATGGATGAAAGTAGATGCTTTATGAGTCTGCCCTCCCTGAAGCGCTTTTTGGATTCAAGATTCAAGATTCTCAGGACTCTAGATCTGGAATCTTGAGCCCAGTCTGCCACCCTTCAAACGCTTTAAAGCGTTTTAAAACACTATTGGACTCAAGATTCAAGATTTTCAGGGCTCTAGAAAGCGCTTCAAAGCATTTTTGGTGGGGAGGACTGGATTCAAGATTCCAAATCTAGACTCCTGGGAATCTTAAACCTTGAATCCAAAAGTGCTTTAAAGCGCCTTATAGCACTTTGAGGGGGTCAAAGTTGGAGTGCCTGAAAAGGGTCGAAATTGGAGAGGGGGTGGAAATCACATAAAAGTACTGTAAATACCGTCAGATTCTCTTGGGCGTGTTTTTTGTGGGGGTTTACTAGATTCTTATGTTCATAGATAGAGTATGTGTAATATACATCATAGGTGTATACAGCATAGGAACATACAAATACAGCCCACTTTGCCTGTTCGCCTTTTTTTGGTGGCTATTTTTTCAGACTTGCTACAATCCCAACCAAATTTGCTAATTTGTACCAGGGATCCACGATGAGGTGCGACAAGACTCCGTTCGGTTTTCTTTCGAATTTCTCACCTTTCAAGAACGGGCGACAAATCCAACGGGTGCTTCCTGCAACCCCGCGCCCCGCGTTTATGGCGGGGTTTATCTTTGCGCCCCTTTCTGTGCCAAGACAAAAGGGGTCGCCCGCTCTGGGAATACGAGTCCATGAGCACCCACCTTCAAACAATGATGGAAGTGGCTAAGGGGTGGCCTGCATCCCTCTTTGTCACCATATTTAATGGGTAAAGACTGGCATTGAACATCAGGACCTGAGAAGGGGCCACATTCGGGAGAGCACAAACCATAGGCTACGAATAACATGTTTCTAGTTGCTCATGCACATGCGCAAAGAACATGCAAAGACACCCTATCTTATAGCGCTTGAAGGCTGCTCAAAAAGGTGTCCAACCGAAGAGGCTGGAAGCTATAACGGATTTCCAGGCCCGCCCTCTTCAACAAATCTATGTCACAGAGGTTGGTCTGAACAAGGGACATGCACAAACACACACCAAGAAATTCTGACAAGACGCAGAGTCTGCTGCTCTGCGCTAACGCCCACCGAAGACTCATCGCTGGAGGCCTGGATGGAAGGGGGGTAGGTCATACTTCCCAGCGACAAAATGTACAGGAAAGAAAACTACCCGCCCAACACAAGAGGGTGCTGGCAAACCTGCTAACAAAGATCTGCCGGCTGCAAGGACGGGGAGGCAGCTTCAAGGGCCAACGGGTATCAAATCCAAAAACGGCGCCCGCAGCAACTTGGCACGTCTACATTGTACGGGTCAACGTGTAACAAACCCACAAGAATAGTGGGTTACCAGGGTACAAATTCTGGGTGGCCACAGCTGGTAAACCAGCATCCGGTATGTCGACATTGTAAGGATGCGTCGGGGTCAGCCGGTGCCAAATCCCGCTGGGTGCCACAAGAATGAGCGGTCACCGGTGTACAATTCAAAGGGGTCACAGCAAACAAGACAGTAAGCAAGACACATCTGGTATTTCTGCAGGGTCAAAAAGTACCAATCTCTGGCTGGACACACATTCTGGGTGGCCACAGCAAGCAAAGAAAGAAGCATTCTGTGTGAACGGGCGATCACCAGGTACAAATTCCAAAGGGGCCAAAGCAGGAAAAAACATCTGTGTGGATGGCGTGGGGCGCAGGTGGCGCGGTCAGTGCGGATGGTGGCGGGTTGTGTGGATGGCGCGGCAGATGCAGAGCCCGACAAGGGTGCACTGGCATATGCCCCTCATGAACAACCTCAAGAGCGCCTGGCGTACGTGACTGACCTGGACTAATTTCCAGGTTTTCCAAAACAAGACTCAGCCCTTTGCAAGGCTTCGGGGCCTACAGGGTATGCACCTCAGCTTGGGCCCCGAATAGTCTCGCGCAATCCCACTCCCACACAGTGTAACCCAGAGTCAAAAAGCATGCAGTCGCGAAGCAGATGCGACTGACCAAGAGGCACGCCACCCTTCCATACACTTAGGGGTGATCTGATTCATATCCAGCGCAATTTGATGCGTTATGGGGCAATGAAACCCTGCCTCGGAGACCTGCTCGGCAAGCTCCAAATGACGAGAGGAATGCCTGAGCACTCGGCGCAATACCGGGGCTAAGTTGGCAGAAACAACTCCTAAAACTATCCTCAGCAAAGAACCCCAATGAAGCCACACCCTGGCTGAAGGGGATTTGACTGAAATATTTCTCCCTGAGCAAGGAGACCAAAACGAAGGTCCCAACACTGGTTTGGCAAGGCGCACGGTGAAAAACCTTTTGAGATGGTGATGGACTTCCGCGCGCGCATGTCAGCAGGGTGGTGCAATCAGCGAACCCCCTGAACCGTGACTCTGGCCGAAGGTTGTCCATGCCGCTGGCCATTTGGAAAATACCCAACCACCATCATTCCCAGAGCGACCCATCGAAAAGTGAAATCTCTGCCGAAATGGCGCTTCCTCCTCAAAGGTTGAGCCCCTGTTGCAGAAAAGCCCAAGGCAGTCCAAGGTTTTAGATAATGGAAGCTCGGAATGGGCAAGTTTGCCAGGGTGTCAGCAGCTGGTAGCTTCTGCGCGGCGCTGACCCACCTGAAATAACTTATGTCAAGTGGATTCATCTCTTGTAAGGGACCAACAAATGACATTTTATTGACCAATCCTCAAGAACCTTTGATGAAACAAATGCTTGCCACGTCTCTACTCCTCGGGGGGCAAAGAGGCCCCCCGCCTCTCAACACTTCAAGGGGAACCCACACCAACAGAAAACAAAACCAGGGTGCCAGTTGCAAATGATTGTAGGTGCTTGCAAAGTAGGGGACATGTCTCTTATGTTTGCAGATCGGAAACCGGGCAACGGGACAATTGGTGCTGAGCGCGCCTAAGGAAAACAGAAAACTCAAACCAATTTTCCAACACTACTGCAACATCACAAAGCCAAAGGGCCATCTCCTTTAGCCCAAGGCAACTGGACAGCCCAGCCTTTCAAACCAAAAGGTGAGCCTGCCAGTTGTGGGGTCCAGTTCCCCTCCTGGCTGGGTCGTCGTTTTGACCTTCACTTACCCCGGTCTTGATTGCGGCTAGCGAGGGCGAGATGCCAAGTCTGAAGCGCGTGAGACACAAGACGGCACATTGGTCCTGAGGCAAATAAATCCGCCGACCCTTTCTCTAAAAAGGGGAGGCGCACGGGAAGGGTGGTTGGCGCATAAGTATGGCCAAAGTTTCATCCTCATCAGCATCATCAGCTACGATGATTGTTATCCTCACAGTCATCGTCATCATCATCATCCTTATCATCATCTCTTTCTTATTCTCTTATCCTTCTCATCCTTATCAGCATGGTCATCATCATCTCTTGTTTGGCAGCGTTGCTGACGCAGAAGATGTTAGGATGACATCATCCTCATCAGCATCATCAGCTACGATGATTGTTATCATCACAGTCATCGTCATCATCATCATCATCCTTATCATCATCTCTTTCTTGTTGCCTTATCCGTATCAACAATATCATCATGGTCATCATCATCTCTTATTCGGCAGCGTTGCTGATGCAGAAGATGTCAGGATGATAGCTATCATCACAGCTGTTAGTGATGCCAAGGATGCTACGATGATAGTTATCATCATCCTTGTCAAAGGATGCGCTGATGATAGTTGTCAAGGAACAAGCAGTGATGCAGAGGATGTTGTGATGATAGTTGTCATGACGCGGGTGATAACGATCATCACGCCCGCGCGTGCCATTATCCTCATGGTCATCACGCCCGTGCCATTATCATCATGGTCGTCGTCATCTCTTATCACGCAGCATCGGTGATGCAGAGGATGCTGCGATGAAAGTTATCATCACAGCCGTAAGTGATGCCAAGGATGCTACGATGATAGCTATCATCCTTGTCATCATCTTTATCATCATCTGATCATCACCTAGCATGATCTAATATCTTAATATGTAGAGAAATCAAAAGGGACGTAAGACATCCTTGGCAATGCAAAGGATGCGATGATGATAGTTGTCAAGGAACAAGTAGAGATAAAGAGAATGTTGTGATGATAGTTGTCCTGACGCGGATGATAACGATCATCACGCCCGTGCCATTATCATCATGGTCGTCGTCATCTCTTGTCACGCAGGATTGGTGATGCAGAGGATGCTGCGATGATAGTTATCATCACAGCCGTTAGTGATGCTAACAATGCTACGATGATAGTCATCATCCTTCTCATCATCTTTATCGTCATCTGATCATTACCTAGCATCATCTGATATCTTCTTATGTTATATATAGAAATCAAAATGGACGTTAGACATCCTTGGCAATGCAAAGGATGCGATGATGATACTTATCAAGGAACAAGTAGAGATAAACAGGTTGTTGTGATGATAATTGTCATGACGCGGATGATAACGATCATCACGCCCGTGCCATTATCATCATGGTCGTCGTCATCTCTTATCACGCAGGATTGGTGATGCAGAGGATGCTGCGGTGGCAGTTATCATCCAAGCCGTTAGTGATGCTAAGGGTGCTACGATGATAGTTGTCATCCTTGTCATCATCGTTTTCATCATCTGATCATCATCATCACTTGTGCTTCTTTTCTAGCGAGCTTTTTGTCAGGCAAAGCACTTCAAACTAATATTGTTAAAACGAGGTGTGGGAGTGGCATCCTTGTCTCTTCTTCCTGGCGGACTTTTTGTCAGGGAGAGCACCTCAAATTATTATTATTATTTTTAATTTGAGGTGTGGGAGACTTTGTTTTGGGCTGCATCATCGTCATCATAATCATCATCCTTCTCATCATCATCATGATGGTCCTCATCATCTCTTTCTTATTCTCTTATCCTTATCATAATTATCATCATGGTCATCAGCATCTCTTATTCGGCAGCGTTGCTGACGCAGCAGATGTTACGATGATAGTTGTCATCACAGCCGTTAGTGCTGCCAAGGGTGCTACAATGATAGTTGTCATCCTAGTCATCATCTTTATCATCATCTAGCATCACCTCATATCTTATCATATATGTATTAACATATTATTATATTCTATATATAGAAATCAAAAGGGACGTGAGACATCCTTGGCAATGCCCATGACTGGGTGTCGGCGGCACAGGGCGGCAGCCCTTAAATATGGATACCATGACAAATCAAAATCGAAATACACGAGCTCAAGTCAGTATTTTCAAGATGACATGCAGAGCCGAGATTTGAGTGCAAAGGGACGCGAGCTGCACATCAATCTGGGCCGCATTAAGGCCCACGTCCGAGACAACCTTACAAGGAGGGTCTCTCGAGATGCGCCTAAACCTGCGCCACGGAATTTCGTAAGTACATAACGTACACGTGAGGCAATCATCAAACCCTTCAGTTCCAAAAGCATGGAAAGGCGCAGAGAAGACCGCTTTGCTCTTCCATCCGCAAGCAAAAATTTCTCCTGGCGATAGCACACTTGACTCGTCTGAGAGCAGTAGAGCCAAGCACCTGTTTCATTTGAGTCTTGTCCAGCTTACCCGAGAATTCCAAAGGAATACATTCCATGAACCTGGTCCGAATAAGAGAGGCGGCGCTTTCAATCTGAATGCTCAAAGTTGCATCAAGAGGAAAGCAAAGGTCGGTCCCAAAGGGACAAACCTCGCGCGCACCCGGGAGTTGCAATGAAGCCTGCTTCTGCACAGAGCGCACATTGCAAAAAAGAAAGAAAACTCATCCATCGTTCTCCAGTCAAGAATGCAATCATAAAGTTCGTCCATTTTCACATGTAGCTTCTTTGAGAAAGTGCTGCGTATTCAGGTTAATTACCTCTCTCATGATGATTGTCATCACAGTCATCACCTTCATCATCGTCATCGTGATTGTCATCATCACCTCTTTCTTCTATACATTTCAAATGTGGCATTAGGCACCGTTGGTAATGCAGAGGATGCTGTGATAATGCTTATCATGACGGTCGTCATCCTTACCATCATGGTCTGTATGATCTGCGATGATAGTTGTCATGACAGTCATCGCCAGCTTTGGTCATGCAGAGGATGCTACGATGATAGTTATCATGAAAGTCATCATCCTTATCATCTTCATGATGGTTGTCATCACAGTCATCACCTTCATCATCGTCATCGTGATTGTCATCATCATCTCTTTCTTCTATACACTTCAAATGTGGCGTTAGGCACCATTGGTAACGCAGAGGATGCTGTGATGACACTTATCATGACAGTTGTCATCCTCATCATCATTGTCCGTATGATCATCATGGTCTCTAATTCTGCAGCATTAGCATTGCAGACGATGCTGCAATGATAGTTATCATGACAGTCATCGGCAGCATTGGTAATGCAGAGGGTGCTGCGGTGATAGTTGTCATGACAGTCATCGGCAGATTTGGTAATGCAGAGGATGCTACAATGATAGTTGTCATGAGAGTCATCATCCTTATCATCTTCATGATGATTGCCATCACAGTCATCGCCTTCATCATCGTCGTCGTGATTGTCATCATCAGCTCTTCAGCTCAAATGTGGCGTTAGGCACCGTTGGTAGTGCAGAGGATGCTGTGATGATACTTCTTGAACGAAATGTCCACCCCATGAATGCTGGAGGACGCTTTGTTTTTCCGATCACCATCCTGCAGCATTCATTGAGAGGAGATTTCGAGTGTAAGGATAACTATCATCAAGCGTCCTCCCGCATTCGCCGGGAGATTAATTCGAATGCAAAGATAGCTATGACGAAGCGTCCTCCAGCATTCATGGGGAGGACATGTCTTTGCGTAACAGCGCTGCTCCATTGCTTCGCCATTTTCCTCGGAAGGCGGCGGTGGGCTGCCAGCACTTGCACATACAACACTGCCACGGATGACCACTCTGCTCATGCCTGCCTACGCATTCCTTGCAAACACGGCTTGCGTCATCGCGTTTCCACTGACCAGCCGTGTAACCACGTGGCTCCTTCTGTTCCCGGCACTCGCTGTACGGCTTCTCGATGACGTATTCTCGTCGGATCTTCTCCCAGTCTATCTCTTCTCCTCGCCACACTCGGAGCAGCAGGTTTCGCCCCACGTCTTCCCCGCGCTGGAAAGGCCCCAAGG